CCTTAGCCAATCAGGATGAACATTGCAAGTTCATATACAGTGAAAATCATGCTATAAATAAATCTGCAAGACCGCGAAAAGAGAACCGCTATTAAGAACAACACATTTTTTCTGTACGGAAGTTTCTGATTTGGTGTTTGTATGTAATTTTTTTTACTATCATCATGTTTTAGTTTATAGATTAGACAGTGAGCCAGATCAGATATGTCCCAATAAAAATAATGTTTTGGCACTTTATGAGGTGAGAATTGTATACATGCATGTCTAAGAAAATTGAGGGGGGGATATCCCCCCTAGGGCCATGGCTAGGGGGGGACTGATCCCCCCCATCCCCCCCTCTGGAGGAAACCCTGCAAGTGAATTGCCCGAGACACCCAGTGCGACAGCCTCTGGGGTGTCAATGGCGCGCCTCTGTTCTTAGGGCCCATGCATACAAACAGCTGATCCAACCGTCTGAAAGAGGCTGTAACTGCCAGGTAGGATCTCAGCATCCTGACTGGAAACAACAGATGCTGCCGGTCGTCCTCCTCGGAGGCATGAGGCGGCGGGTGAAAGGGTCGCACCCTGATGACCCTTGACCTAAAAGCCGAAGTAACAACCTTAGGCAGAAAGGCTGGGTTCGGCCAAGCTCAACTACACCATCCTCAGCACCGAATGTCGGGCATTCCGGGCGAACGGAGAGTGCGCATAGCTCACCTGCCCTCTTGGTTGAGAGCCAGCAAGAGGGCGGTAATGAGAGCCACACACTCGGGCTGGCTTGGGCCAGAGGCTTGAAGGGAGGCCCCGATAACCCCCTCAAGACCACCTTAAGGTCCCAGAGCGGGGGGGTCCTCCGGAGAACGCGCCTCTTCCGGTGGGCCCCCCGGAGGAAACGTTTGACCAGCGGGTGGGAACGGGCCGAAAATGTCCAAAACCCTCCGTGGCCAGAGGTAATGGCTGCTGCGAACACCGCCCGGGTGCCGGCAGCCCTCCCCTTCTCCAATAATTCTTGTAGGAACCCCAGGACCCCTTCTTGAAGGCAGGACATGGGGTCCCAAGAACACACCGCGCACCAGCCATTGGAAACCCTCCACCTACAGCCGTAGGCCCTGACAGTGGAAGGGGCTCTCGCGCCCTGAATGGTCTCCACTACTGACTGAGGGAGATCCAGACCTACGAGAGTCCGCCTCTCAGCCTCCAGACCCAGAGTCTGTGGCCCAGTACCAGGCACGAGTGAAGCGTCCCCCCTCCCTGGACCAGAGCCCCGGGCTCGTCCGGGAGAGGCCAAGGGTCGCACACCGCCATGCCCTTCAGGAACGGGAACCAGCGGGCATGCGGGCTGTCCGGGGCGATGAGGATCACTTCCCGACCCTCCTGCTCGATCCTCCTCAAAAGAACCGGCAAGAGGCGAGTCGGGGAAAACGCATATAGGCCCCCCGGTCACGGGTAATGCGCCAGGGCATCCACCCCCAAGGGTGGATTGTCCGTGGGCCACAGCGCGAACCAGAGTGAGCACAGAGCATTGCCTGCACTGGCGAATAGGCAATGGCAGAGGTCGACCGAACCTCTGCCATACCTGCGCTGCTATCTGCGGGGCCAGGCCCCACTCCTCCCTGAGTGGGCCCCCCCTGGACATTAGATCCGCCCCTGTGTTCCTGTCTCCGGGAACGTGGCGTGCCCTGAGAAACAACAGATTCACATCTGCCCAGAGCAGAATGCGAGCCCTCCCACGGAGCTCTGCCCAGAACACCTCCCCACCCCTCGAGAGAGGCGTCCGTAAACACTTCCACATGTGATACGGAGCCTTTTAGAGGAACCCCGTCCCGCATCACACTCTGGGTGAGCCAGAACCTGATGTCTGATCTCACCCTGGGGGGAACCACGAGCATGGTCGCTGCGTCCCGGGAGGGGTGAAGTCTGAGACCGGAGAACCATCTCTGAAATCCTCTCATGTGGAGAAGACCCAGACGTATAACCGCATGGGCCGCAGCCATCATCCCCAGGAGTGACCTGAGACAACGAGCAGACACCCTGGGAGCGGTCAGCGCCCTGGTGGCCAGCTGTGAGAGGCTCTCCTGTCTGTCCACGGACAGAGCCGCTCGGAACTCCACCGAGTCCAGCTGCAGACCGAGGTAGAGCGCGCGCTGGGCAGGCTGTAACCTGGTCTTCTCTCTGTTCACCACAAAGCCCAGCTGTTGTATGTGAGAGAGAACCCAGCACGTGTGCTCCAGGGCCACTTCCCTGGACTGGGCCAGAATTAACCAATCGTTTATGTAGGTTAAAATTCTGACCCCCGCGCGTCTGAGCGGCATCAGGGCGGCCTCCACGCATTTTGAGAAGGTGCGAGGGGCCAGCGCGTACCCGAACGGGAGGCGGCAATCTCCGGTTCTGACGCCTTCCAGCAGCTGTTTGTGACGAGCCTGCGGAACCGGCGCCTGGAATTCTACGTCCTGGTGCTACACCCCCTAGGTCTTCGTAGAGCTAGGTTACATTAGGTAACTAGCCGTTAGTAGAGGGGGAGCATCAGACTCGAAGTACTCCTCTCACGAGCCCCGCCCTCTCCTGGTGCTCCCAGAATAGAGAGAGAGGGGGGGAGAGGTGGCAAAAAGGGCATGCAGCCCCTCTGTGATATGCTGTGTGAGACAGAGAAAGTCCCTGGCCTCTCTGCCTCACTTATTGCAGCCTGATTTGCCCGGAAATGTGAGTGACGTAAGCTCCGAGGAGCGGGGGTGAGAACCACTTTAAGCAACGAACAGTCTAACACACAAAATACGGGTTGTTTCTTTTTATTAAGAAAGCCTCTGCCCTCCGGTCCGCCCCTACTGTACGGGAAAGACGTAGGCAATCCGTGCTCCCGAGCACCTCCGTAGATCCACTCCGGACCTCGGGGTCTCGCTGAAAGAGAGCGGGTATGGAGAGTAGCGATCCGCGAAAAGAGTAGAGTGCTTCTGGGACTGAGACTGCTCTCTGGTCTGGTCTGGTTACGCTGTTCAAGTCCGTCGACCAGTCCCCCCCAGTCCAATCCTCTCCGCTAAGTGCCTGGCCCGTGGAGAGAGACTCATTCAGAGCGCCCAGTGATAAGGCCCTGCTGCTCTGACAACGCGACCCCTGAGTCGCGTTGGCATCGCACTCCTCCAGTGCGGGCATAGACCTCTTCTCCTGCTCGGAGGGAGAAGGCGGTCTGTTGCCTGGTCCCATGGAGGGCGCGGGGCCATCTTGGACCGTACCATACGGGCCAAATCCCAGGGCGAGCCTCTTGGCTCCCCTGGGGCTTGGGCCTGTCACGTGTGGCGTAGTGAACACCGGCTTCCTGAATCGCGGGGGAGAGTGAGGGGCCCGTTATCCTTTCCCTGAAGTCCGGGCAGCCTTCGGGGCACTGGAGCGTGCATCGCGGCACTCTCACTCCCCCCCTGGGGAGAGTGAGAGGCCCGTTATCTGGGCGGTGCGTGAAGAATCAGTCAGCCCAGGCAGGGGAAGCAGAAGAAGCACCGGGGTGCTCGTTCCTGCAGTGAAATTAGTACAGCTACGCTTACCTATCTCATCCGACGCCGGAGGGCAAAGGGAACTCGGACTAGCAGAGAAGGCAGCAACATCTCGATTCTCCATTAAGTTAAGTAGATCTCTCTATGGCGCCAGAGTTAAAAGTGGCAGGTGCGGGCTGTAGAGGGCTATTTATAGATGGGACTGGCACGTGATTGGAGCGTTAATTTCTCTCTGGCGCGAAGCTCGGGCTTCTTGAGTATACCCACAGCGAACTAAGTGGCTGGAGCACCATGAAGTAGAACTTGGCTGTATCTACACTGGCCGTGCACGCAAGTCCGCGGCTTCTGATGCTCTCCCTGTGTAGTAGTCTATGGAGAAGTGTAGGGGACAGTACGGGCTAGAGGACTGATTAACACAAATCACATGCATGTGTTTGTCTTCATGGTCTCTGTGCGCTGGTCTGACCAGACGCGAGACTTTATGAAAGAAAAAAAACGATGTCCAGAATCACTGTAAAACCTGCTGTTCCTCCTGTTAATGTTTATATACCAGTGCTGTGTGTGTGTAGATGCAATCTAGAGCCAAGGACCGCTCGAAAAATCATGGGAGACGCGTCGCTGCGCGCACAAAATTAGAAATCCATCCTAAATTAGGGCGCAACCTCGCATCATACGCGCGTATAACACTAGCCGTGCAGCTGTAGTTATCTGCAGTTCATCCAGAGTGATCATGGGCCTCTTGGCTGCATCTCTGATCAGTCTTCTCCTTGTTTGAGATCAAAGTTTGGAGGGACGGCCGGGTCTTGGTAGATTTGCAGTGGTCTGATACTCCTTCCATTTCAATATAATTGCTTGCACAGTGCTCCTTGAGATGTTTAAAGCTTGGGAAATCTTTTTGTATCCAAATCCGGCTTTAAACTTCTCCACAACAGTATCTCGGACCTGCCTGGTGTGTTCCTTTGTCTTCATGGTTCTCTCTGCGCTTTAAACAGAACCCTGAGACTATCAAAGAGCAGGTGCATTTATACGGAGACTTGGTTACACACAGGTGCATTCTATTTATCATCATCAGTCATTTAGGACAACATTGGATCATTCAAAGATTCTCACTGAACTTCTGGAGTGAGTTTGCTGCACTGAAAGTAAAGGGGCCAAATAATATTGCACGCCCCACTTTTCAGTTTTTTATTTGTTAAAAAAGTTTAAATCATCCAATACATTTCGTTCCACTTCACGATTGTGTCCCACTTGTTGTTGATTCATGACAAAAAAATAAAATTTTATATCTTTATGTTTGAAGACTGAAATGTGGCAAAATGTTGAAAGGTTCAAGGGGGCCGAATACTTTCGCAAGGCACTGTATATAACAAAACCAGAAACAATGCAGCGAATTTTTAAGTTATTTACTTTAAAATCCATGTAAAGTTGGGGGCGCTATTGAGCAGCGAAACAAGATGGCAGCTTAGCATCGAGGCTCCGCTCAACTCTGCTTAAAACTTTTCATAACAGACAGTAAAAGTGTTAACCTGACATTGGATTATGACAGAGACAACAGCAAACACCAGCGGCCACAGTTCTATCGTGACACGAGCGTTGTCAAAACCAAGAGTGTGTCCGCAACGCGAGGACGAGCACGGGAAAGCTACGGAGAGCATGGCAGATATAGCTAATGTGCTAACGGAGCTAAGGGCTCTCCGAGCTGATTTTGGTTGCGAGCTTGATACTACTAACTCGCATCTGGGAGATATGAACAACTCAATCAGCGCATCAGAGCAGAGTATGGTTGAGGTGAGGAACACGGTTGAATCTAATAAAACACGTGTCACTGAGGCTGAAGAGCGCATATCAACTCTCGAAGATGATCTGGAAGTGGCTAAAGCTGACTTAGCTATAAAACGCTCCACTTTGGAATCAAAGACTGACGAGTTAGAAAACCGGGGCCGCCGCAAGAATCTCCGCCTATTTGGTTTACGTGAAAGAGCCGAAAATAACCAGCCCTTGTTGGAATACGTGGAACAACTTTTGCCGAGATGGTTGGGCTGCCACGATAAGACTTTCACTCTCGAGCGTGCACATCGCACACTGTCAAAACCTAAACCAGGCCAAAACAGAGGGGTGATCATCCGCTTTCTGAAGTTTCAAGACAGGGAGTTTGTCATAAACACTGCAAAGAAACTCAACATCCAACATGAAGGAAACAAGCTGCTGTTTGTCCCTGATCTATCAACGGAGACTCTGCGCCAACGTAACGAGTTCAACACAGTAAGGCAGAAGTTTGTGGAGAAGGGGCTCTATCGTGGATTCCAGATTCACCCATGCAGAATGAGAGTCTTGCACGAGAGCAAAATGCAGCTGTTTGCGACGCCTCGAGAAGCAGAGTTCTACCAGAAAATCATCTGAATGTGGTGGTGAGGTTTGTTTACTTGAAAGACTTGCAATAATTCAATGGAGATAACAGACTTTCCATTATTTTGCCTTTAATCTAACTTTTTCAGAGTTAAGATTATTATTTTTATTTTTTTTCATGTTTTTTATCTGTATTTTTCACGTGTTTTTGTCACAAATTTTCTAAATAATTTATTTTTAATTTTATTTTTGTATTCTTCCAAACATTTTCAGTATCTTGGAAACGTGAAGTGTTCATTATTACTTGAAAATAATTTGTTCATAATTTTTTTCCTTATTATTATCATAATTTTATTTATTTTTTCAAAAATAATTTCACTACCTGTCTCTGGTGGACAACTTTTGTTGAAACTATCAATTTTTTACACTGTAATGCGAGTTGAGCGGATGCTGCCCATTTCTTTTGTTTCTGCTTGTATAGTTTAACCACTCCTCTCTTGAGTGGATTGGTATTAGCCTCCTTACATTTTTTTGTTTTGAGTAAGGGATGGGGAAGATTTCTGTTTTTGTGTTTGTTTTGTTGTGTTAATGTTCATGTGTTCAGGGCACACAGATATTACTTTGAGCCAGGCCACTTTACTTATTGTAATTTTTGTATACATATGGAAAACAAAAAATCCAAAATTGTTGATCTAAAATTCACTACCTGGAATGTCAGGGGTCTTTAAAAAATTACTAAATTGAAACAGGTCATGAATAGAATTAAATTATTAAATTCCAAAATTCTTTTTATTCAGGAGAGTCATTTGACTGATTCAGAGATTAAGAGGATCAAAAACAGATGGCGTGGGCATGTGATGCATGCATGCAACATATAATAATTATTCACGTGGTGTTATAATTTTAATTCATAGAACTATACCATTTCAGGTCACTAAAATCATCCAGGATCCAACAGGACGCTACGTCATTGTCCGGGGTACTATTTTTTCTCTTACATTAAACCTGGTTAGTAAGTAAGTAAGTAAGTTTTATTTATATACCGCCTTTCACAGACCAGAGTCACAAAGCGGTTTACAATTGTTATTTTTTGGGCACTTGTCCTCTCACTCCACACAGAGACAGGAGTGGGGTCGCCGAACAGGAGGCGCATGCCAGACCTATTGTACATATTTTTAGTGGTAGGGGAAACCGGAGTACCCGGAGGAAACCTACGCAGACACAGGGAGAACATGCAAACTCCACTCAGAAAGGCCCTGGTCCGGCCGGGATTCGAACCCAGGACCTTCTTGCTGAGAGGCGAGAGTGCTATCCACTCAGCCACCGTACCCGCCCATGGTTTGTGTATATGGTCCGAATGAAGACAATCCCAAATTTTTTGAAAACCTTTTCTTCACCCTATCAACTTTACAAGGATCCTTTATCATTGGAGGGGACTTTAATTACACCTTAAATCCTTTATTAGACCGTACTACAGGCTCTGACCCAAGTAAGCCAAAAACAAGGAGTTTTAAAACAATATAGTGAGGATTTAAATCTAGTTGAAATTTGGAGGCATTTAAACCCGACTAAATTGGAATTTTCATGTTTTTCAGGTTTCCAAAAGTCACGATCACGTATTGATTTTTTCTTTGTCTCTCAAAACCTATTGTCTAAGGTTAAAGGCTGTTGGTACGACAGCAATGTAATCAGTGATCATGCCCCATTATCTATGAATATTCATTTAGACAAACTTTTCCACTGCCCCTCTAATTGGCGTTTTAAACCTGTTTGGCTACAAAATGAAGACTTCGTTTCATTTATAGAAAATAGAATTGATCTGTATTTTGAATTAAATACAGATCAAACTGGAGCTTGTACAAGATGGGAAGCTTAGAAGTGAGATTATCAACATTAGAAGTGAGATTATCAGCTATACATCCAATAAATCTAAACAACAAAAAGCACAACTATTTGATTTGGAGAAACAAATAAAAAATCTTGAATGACTTGGATCAGAAAGATGATTTAAGTAAACAAGAACAACTGCTTCTTTTAAGGTCTAAGTATAATAAATTGTCAACAGATAAAGCCGTAGAAAGCTTACTATGGTTAAGGCAAAACTATTATGATCAAGGAGAAAAGGCAGGAAAGCTTTTGGCGTGGAGAATAAAGAAATTACAGACAGATTAATTAATTGTATTAAAATGTTGGATAGAAATTTGACTTTTGACCCTCAAGAGATTAATAATAGTTTTAGAGAATTTTATGAGCGCTTATACAAATCTGAGATTCCCCCAACATCGCATGGGAGAGATGTGTTTCTCAATGCTCTTGATTTTCCGGTTCTGTCAGAACCATAGACTATATATTAATGGACAGAGTCACGCCTATCTCCGCCGTTCTAACTAATGGGCCAAAAAATGTGCTCTACTGGAGCAATCCAAAATGGCCGCTAGTGGTCCCGCCCACAAGAAAATTGTGAAAAAACGCATCTGCGCATGCGTCAGCCGGCGCAACTCCATTCATTTGAACGAGAGACTTAAAATATTCACAGCAAGTAAACTAGAGTGGACCAAAAAAATCCACCCCCCTCAGCATTGACACACATGTGGAACGGAGCTTTGGGCCAAGAGCCAACTTTTGGTCCATCCTGTAAAGACGTTTTTGAGAGGTCTGCCAATGCTATATGTTAGCATTGGCTAATTCTACTTCTGGGTCCACCCCCATCGGCCCGGGGTGGTATTGCAAGCATGTCAGCGCACGTCATTTTGGCCACTTTTGAGCTGGGACCTGGACCTGATGGATTGACTATAGAGTTTTATAAGGCATTTCAGAAACAGTTGATAACTCCGTTAATTGATATGTATCAAGAGGCATTCAACGAAGGAACCCTACCACCTACATTAAGACTTGCTTTGATCACTTTGATCTTAAAACCTAATAAACCTCCAACAGTGTTCCTCATACAGGCCAATAAGTTTGATGGGCTGTGACACAAAAATACTATGCAAGGCTCTTGCTTTACGTTTAGATAATTATATTCCCAATTTAATACACAATGATCAAAATGGATTTGTAAAAAACTGTCAGGGATTTCACAATATTAGAAGGGTTTTGAACATAGTCAGCGAAAAGGCAGGGTCAAAGGATATGGCATTGCTTTCATTAGATGCTCGCCAAGCTTTTGACAGAATTAACTTTCTCAAATGGCTAAAAATCTTGTTTACAAGTCCTACTGCCAGTATTGTTACTAACAGCACTTCCTCTAAACCTATTATACTGGAAAGATCCACGCGCCAGGGCTGTCCCCTTTCACCAATGCTTTTTATTTTAGCTATAGAACCCCTGGCTCTGTCAATCCGTGCTGACAGAGGTTTGTCAGGCATACGCATTGGAGATCATGAGCATAAGATCTCACTCTATGCTGATGATATTATCCTTTTTTTGTCTAATCTAACCACAAGTCTTCCAAATTTGACGAAGCCAATTAACACATTTGGCCAATTCTTAGAATCATTAAGTCATTAATGATTCTAAGTCTTCGATTTTATTCTTAAATGATGAGGAAAGACTGAATCCTGCAGTCACCACCCCTTTCTTAAATGCGCAAGAGGGATTCACTTACTTGGGTGTCAGGAATACCCCTGATATTAAAAATATAGTTCAAGCAAATTTTGATCCTTTAATGTCTGAAGTTCAGCAATCACTGGATAGATGGATGACTCTTCCTATCTCAATGATGGGTCGCATAAATATAATTAAAATGAGCATCTTGCCAAAATGTTGATATTTATTTCAAACTATACCACTTTCATTATCAAACAGCTTCTTTACCAAACTTAACAGAATGTTTGTGAACTTTGTTTGGAATAATAAGAAAGCCAGATTGAGACTGAGGCTTCTTTACATGCCCTATGAAACTGGAGGGTTACAACTACCCAACTTTAAGTGGTATTATTGGCTAGCTCAGATGCGTTCGGCTATGTATTATTTTTCAACACAAACACTACCCGCTTGGGTAATTATTGAACAAGAATCAGTACCAAATTTTTTGCTAAAACATTATTTATACTCAGCTGACTTTAAAGTACTTAAAAAACAGACCAATAATCCATTTCTGAAGGACACAATTGATATCTGGTATAGGTCCCATAAACATGTTGGGGACACCCCCTCGCTCTCACGCTTCTCTCCCATATGGGGCAACACCATGTTTAAGCCTGGAAGAGCGGACGGAGGCTTTAAAGCAGGGGTCACCAACCTTTTTGAAACCAAGAGCTACTTCTTGGGTACTGATTAATGCGAAGGGCTACCAGTTTGTTACACACTTAAATAAATTGCCAGATATGGCCAATTTGCTCAATTTACCTTTAATTCTACGTTTTTACTAATAATTAATGATATTTATTTTGTGGAAAAACTTTCTCTTTATTTTCTCTAAGTGCACATTTTTCAAATTTAACAAATGATAACTTCTAAGACAGTCCCATTTAATCGCAATTAATCACATTTTAATCGCATATAAATATTTGACCTGAGAACAGTGAGAAGTAATTTTTTTCACATGGATTTTTAGTTTACCATTGAATAATGACTGAATACATGAGGCTTAAGCAACACATGTTAATATGGAGTTTAAGGGATAACTTCTAAACATCAAATAACGTTTCTGTCATTGCCTCCACACTCTGACGACAACATATGCTCCTCCTCACACTGACGACAACATACTCTTTTTAAGCCCAAAATCCACTGCACACGCTGTGAGTACTAAAGCTGGGCATGCGCTGTTTGCTAAAGCTTTTATAATACGTTTTTGATGTGTGCATTCGGAGTAAACATCAGCATTAGCAGCTCACACACCTGTGTCTCGCTCCTCCTTCTCCTCCTCCGCTCACACAGGAGTCACTGCTCCTCCTCCTCACACACAGAGTCCATCGCTCCATACACAGCGCTCATTCCCGTCTAATTTACTCGAATTTAAAGTTGGTCTCTGCTTGTAATAATGTACTTTTGAACAAGAAAAGTCACGGAGCTCCGGTTGGTGCGTCAGTTCAATTGGTCCGTCTGAA